CCTAGGTCCCACCTGGCGCCGCATGCTCCAAGTCTCTCCTGTCCTCTCCCTGGCTCCTTCCGCCATCTGATCTGCCCTGGCTCCTCCTGTTTCCTCCTTGGCTCCTCCCTCTGTCTGATCCGCCATGCACTCTATCTGTCCAGCTCAGTCCTCCTCCCGAGCCTCCTCCCAAGGTCCCACCCATCCCTCCCTGTGTTGTTCCTAGTTTAATCTTGTATTATAATGACTTTAATCTTGAGATGGTTTTATTTATTTTATTATTGCTTGGCCCTAATCCTCTTCCGTACTTTTGTGTCATTCCAAACAGTGTGACTTTCTTTCTTTTGAAGAACCAAACAGTTCTCCTTACCACTGACTTACATTGTTAGACATTTCTCAAAATATCTTCTTTTATGTTCCATAGGAAAAAAAAGAAAGTCATATAGTTTTGGAATGACATCCAGGTGAGTAAATTATGACATAATATCCTTTTAGATTTCAGTATGAAGACTTTGAATATAGTTTACCAGTCAAGGATCATAATTTTGATGCATTTATCGTGTGTGACAGAAAAAAAATTATTTTGTGTTCCACTGAAAAAAATAACAGCATACAGGTTTAGAATGACATGAGCAGAATATAAAATTACAGAATTTTTCATTTCTGAGGGAGCAACTCCTTGAACACAGATCTTTAACACTTCCTATTATGATAATAATCTTATCAAACAGCTCCGCATGTGTTCTGGAAAGCCAAGTCACATCAAAGCCGTTGATTCCAGTGTTGATCCCTTAACCTGACAATGAGCTGGGCACAATCTGTCTTTTTTTTAATTATGCAAATGGACTAACAAAGAGGCTTATCTTCTGAGAGCAGTTCACAAACATGACAGTGGCAAAATAGTGAGAAGGAGGGGACAGATGGAGGTGAGATGGATGAGATGGAGGGGACAATAGCTCTTGAGCTTTTTTTTAACCATACTGTGTAATAATCCACCCATCTAGGCTAGGTCAGATCAACTCTGTTAACAAAAGCCTAAAGTGAATATGGAGAGGAGTGAACAGGATTTATTTCCAGCACACTAACAGCTCATCCAGGGAAAAAAGGAGCACTTATGCAGAATTCACTTCACCCAAACAAGCAGAGTGGAGCGCAGACACAGATGGTGAGAGAGCGGTGTGTTTCTGGAAGCCCCTGGCCTGTGATTCATACACAGCCATTATGTGTGAGCGGGGAGCTGAGCTCAGACACTCAAAATATCAAAATCTACATGGGTTTCTTTGATAGGGAAGCAGAAGAGAGCAAGTATTACACAGAGACTAAAAGAGAGGGAGGAAAAGAGAAAGGGAGAGCCAGCAAACAAGAAAAAGACATCAAGAAAGTGACAGAGAAAAAGATCAGTAAACCACAGATGTGGAACATTGGAAGCAGATTGTTTCTGACTCTGATTTGTCACTAGCTATGTTTCCATCAATAGGGAATTTAATACATGTAAGAAAAAATTTGATTATTGCAAAAAAAGACTGCAACTACTCCACGTTTTCAAGAGAACAAAATTCTAGGTAGTTTATTTATGCACATTTTGGACATTTTATTTGCATCTTGTTCCATACAGAATTTTTATGCAATATCCATAAATAAAAATAATTCTGCTATTCTGTGGCACATTTGCTTTTTTTTCTAATGACTGCCATTTAAATTCTATAATTTACTTTTGTTCTTAAATAAATGTGCTAGCTTCCTTTTAATATTTTCACTCATTTAATATTTCACACTTAATTTTTTCCACACATAAGATCATTTTAACTGAAAGCAATGTTTCAAAATATGTTTTAATTTATTTATTTAGTAATTAGTTGTCTGTCAGCAAATAAAATTCTTGATCACTCTGTCAAGGTTTATTTTCAGATGACTGCACATCCCAGTGATATTTTAAAATGTATATAGGCTACTATTAATTATAGAATATATTTATCACAGCTACGGAGAGATAAACGCACGAAGAAGATGAATGCAAATAGTCTTTAACCCTTTCACACGTGAGTTTAAAATATTCTAGCTGAGCCCCCAGGGTGAGTTTTTTTAGGCGACCATTATTTTAGAATGTATAGCCTTGTTGTTTCCATGGCAACGCGTCATGCTTGTCATGTGACACAACACAGCCACAATAGCGCTGTATGACACATGGATCGCCTTTATTTCGTTTTTCCTTTTTTATTATTAATAAATATTATTTATTATTAATAATAATTATTATTCACAAACATACTCACTATATTAATAAATATCTGATATTCCGATTCTGAAATATGTGCAAGTAAATGTATTTGGTAGTTTAAACACTTTTATATTGACCGTGTTAGTTGATCTATACCGGGTGATGGGTGCAGCCATATTAGTTTGCGCTGAATCCGAGCTGTGGGATTTACAACACGTAAATCTATCCACTCCTCCCAAAAGACATTGAAGTAAGTCTCCGGTAAACTGGGAGAACAGCAGATTAAACTTTATATTTATCTACACAATCTGCATAGGATATCAATAAAACATGTCATCAGATTATATTTGTAAGGATCATTATTGCTGCTTCCATAGACATCAGCGCGTATTTTACAAACTATAAATGTATGGTATTGCTAGTACTTATGTGTATTTAAATGTCTGAAACCTAAAATTAGTATTATATGGTTGAAAACACTGAATAGTTGTGATAATAACAAGCGCTCAGCGCGTCCGATCAGGCTCCGCGACAGCCAAAGCGGGAAAGCAGATTTGAATTAAGCAGTTGATCACGTGACGCACTGAACGTTCTAATCACACCAGTGTGATCATACATTTCAGGGACCAGCCAACACACCGGTGTGATCATACGTGTCAAAGGGTAAGTAATCCACAAGACGGTAGATACAGGACGGATAGGCAGGATGCACACGTAGGGACGTAGTAGACCGGACAGAAAACAGTGAACAGAACACAACTTAAGAAGGTTGGCAAATGAAGATAATTAACTAGACACACCTGAACCAAATGACAATGAACAGGAGACAGAAACTAGGTCACACAGAGCACATGGGGAAAGAAAACACAACAAACAGTCCAGGGGTGTGACAGTTCGCCCCCCTCCCGGAAGGCGCAACCTCGTGCCGCAGAAACAACAAAGGGAGGGGCGAAGGGGTACTTAGGAGAAGGACAAAGGAGTGGATATGGGATGGTGACAGGGGATGGCAAAGGGCTGGCAGGAAGGCAGGCAGACAATACAGGTGGAGGTTCAGCCGGAGGATGCACACCCTCCAGGAGGAAGACGAACAGAGTCCAGGGTGGAGATGACGGAGGGAGGAGCCAGGACGGGGACAGAAGGGACCAGGGTGGATCAGATGGAGGAAGGAGACAGGAGGGAGCAGGAGGAGCCAGGCAGGACCCAGGCCGCCAGAGGGAAGGAGGAGCCTGACAGAGCCAGAGGGACGAAGGGCCGAGGCGGTGTCCGGGACTCAGAAGCTGGAGGCGGAGACAAGGGATCCTCCAGCCATGACGCCGATGGAGGCAGTGGTGGCGATGGTAAGGACTGATATAGAGGAGGTGGGCGGGAGTTCAGAATGTTCAGGGGGTTTAGGAACGGTGTGTGCTGCCCACACACACCACATGGCCACTCTCTGCGTGCCAGCGATAGGGGAACGACCTCCATGGTCGTTTCAGGACTGGCAGATAGTTCAGGGCAGATAGATAGTTCACAAACAGCCTCCATGGCCGAAACAGGACTGACAAGAGAGTTCAGGGCAGGCAGATGATTCAAACATGACCTCCGTGGTCGTGATGGGACAGACGGAAGATGATGGTGGGAGAAGATAAGGCATGTCCGCATATAAATCCAAGTTATAATCCACTGAGCTCGACTCACCCTCAGCCATGGTGCAGTGGGTGGAGCTTCCCTCCGCGCACTCGCTGTCCATGGCCATCTCCCTCACGGCGAGCATTATAGCTGGCTCTTGCACCTGGTCTGACGTAATTTGAGGCTCTGGCTCTGGCTCTGACTCCGGGGCGATCCTCAGCTCTGTCGCTCCATTAGGCGATGGCTCGTCGGCTGCAGCGGGCTCAGGCTCTCCGTCATCGGTGGGCTCAGGCTTTTGCTTCACGCTTGGGGGTGATGGTGGGCTGGGCTTTGGGTCAAGCGCCATTCTAGATCGGAGCCGGACGCTCTCCAGACAGCGGATGATCGCCTCCCTCCAGTTCAGTCCTGTGGTGTCTGGGAGGTTGATGGGGTGTTGGCAGTTTGCCCTGATCTTGAACAGGGACTTCAGCGTCTCGTCATAGAAGACATTGGTGACGGCGAAACAGCTGAAGTCCCTTGCGAAATCCTCAATATCCTGGCTCCTCCGAGCCAGAGCGGTGAATCTCTCGGTGAGCTCCATAAGAAAAAATCCAAAAGAAAAAAACTTTAAACAAAAAACAAACACCCGGTCTTCTGTCACGCTACGGTGAGATAAACGCACAAAGAAGATGAAGATGAATGCAAATAGTAGGGAGGTAGTAGACCGGACAGAAAACAGTGAGCAGAAAACAAATTAAGTAGGTTGGCAAATGAAGATACTTAACTAGACACACCTAAACCAAATGACATAATGAACAGGAAACAGAAACTAGGTCCCACAGAGTACATGGGGAAAGAAAACACAACAAACAGTCCAGGGGTGTGACAATATTATTATTTGAATAAACTTTACTTTTATATTTTCAGTTTAAATTTTTTGTTTAAGATTTAGTTATTTTGTTATGTGCTTTTATGTGTTTTTGTTTGTTTTATTTCTATTTGACTTCATTTTTGTTAGCATTTCAACTTATGTAAGCTATTTCAGTTTAAAAAGATTATTAAAAAGTTCTGTGATAAAAAGTTATAAAAAAGATTTTGAATGATTTTAGTTTTAGTTAACAATAACAAAACTGCATCATCATTTCCATTTATTAAACAAAATCTTTCAGCTGTGTACATTCTTATGTTTACATACATCTGTGTGTGTTTGACTTACTCTTGGCTTTCTCACTCTTGCGAGACGGTCTCCAGCGGATGCAGGAACGGTGTTCATCCAAATAGAAGAGCCGGACCAGACCTTTAGAACCGTTCTTCAGCTTCACCATCTGAGTCCCCGACTGCATCACGCTCATGCATCGCTCAACTGCGAGTACAAAATAAACACACAAATACACATTGAGTGGGCTGACGCACACTTAAACAGCGAGGTGAAAATGTAAAATGGCATAAAAATAGATTCTGTCACTACAAATAAGTTACAGTTGATGGATGGAGGTTATAAATTTGCTAATAACAGCACTATATATATTTTTAGATAGTGTGACGATGGGCGTCATTTTAATTGGGACGCATGTAGAGCAGTTATGGAGCACATTGAGTGGTGGGATATGACCAAATTAGATAACTGGCAGGGTTTGCTCAAATACAACCAAGGTAAAGAAAAGAAGAGCTTGAAGAAGGTTCAGGAACCCTGCTGAAAACTCTGAGAGGCATGTGAGAAGTCCAACAAAAGCCAAAATGATGCAACACATCAGAGGCTGCGTGCAACCCAGCTTATCTTCTTGACTGAGTGAGATGGCAACTCCCTGTCTTAAAGGGCCACTGGGACCAATCAGCTGACAGATCTGAAGGTCTCTAAATAAAACTTCTGCCTTGGCTGAGACTGGCTCGCTGCAAAACAGAGCTGCAAAGACAAGTGCGAGAGGAGAACATGTGCATGTGTATGCAACATGGCTGCTTCTCCTTCAAAATCACTTTGCACCATGACACCAGTGTGCTTCAGCTCATCTCCTCCATCAGAGGGCTAACGAGAAGGGCATACAAAGACTGAAAACGCTCTCCCTCCAAACCTGCTTCAACATTTGCAATGCACTCTCAAGCACTACTTTATGCTGTCAGTGTGATTTCAGGGTGAAGTCACCCAGGAGAATCGAAAATGTGAAATCGAGCAGATAATAGTTTTGTATGTGAAGCGCATGTATATTCTCCGTCTGACACGATTGAAGCGGGACGGCCTGAGGGGGTGGTAGGAAGAACAAGCTCTTGAATTATATAAAGTGAGAGTGGAATGTGATATTGACAATGATTTTTACAGGAAACAAATGAAATTGATACACTGTATCCAAACAAAGAGCAACTTAATTGTTCAGAAAACACGACATAAATCCAAAAAATATATACATGACAAATGCTTCCATGTAAAATGACAGTAAAATGACAATGTCAGTTTTACTAAACAGGGTAATTAACACAGACGTATAATGACCAGCGCAATTTACCAAGAGCAGCGCAAATTACCGCCTGCTTAAAGACATGCTTTTTGGGGGTGTTTAATGATTGAGCAAATACCAGTAAATGCATCTGAAAGAGAAACACATACAAATGCATACTCAATAAGGTCAGGTGAAAAAATAATTGTGTTATAAACAATAAATACCATTTTGTGGCTCTTTAATGTGTCATGACAGATCACTGCAGCACCTCAGTTCAAGCGGCACGTGAACTGATCGTCTTTTCAAATTTACTTAAAGCACGAAATAAACATGAATGAACATCAGAACATATTTTATTTAAACCGTGGAAAGACATCAATATTTTTAAAGTTTACGTCCACAGAAGTTAATCTACTCTCCTGTCTGATTTGTTTTTTGGACAAAATGGCAGATTTGGCGTTATGATTGGTCAGATCGCCTGTCAATTAAGCTCTTTGCAAAGAATCAAATTGAATGAATAATGAAGTGGATGTTATATGTGCTCAGTGTTGTTGTTAGCTAAACTAAAAACTGTTTTTAATAAAAGGTATTAATTCTTGAAGTATTAAGAATTGTTTTTGTTAATTGAAATAAATCTGAAAATGTATCAACTAAAAATTATATATAAATATTAGATGAAAAGAAGGAAAATAATTTGAAGTTAAAAATAATTTGAAAAAGAACTAAAAATACAAAAGCATGTAGCAAATTGACTAAAACATAAGCTAAAATAAAAATGAAAATATAAAAATGAAGGCCAATTCAATATATTTATCAATACTATGGTAGTATAAGAATAATAATGCATTAACACTGCATGTGTCGTATTTTACATCTTTGGAAGCCATATGTGTGACAGATAGATTGAAGTATAAATAATTATCCACTGGAAAAGTTTTCACACCGAATATTTCAATACACACAATTGCGAATCTGGTGTTTTGTTTTGTTTTGTTTTTCTTTTAGTATTCATACTAACTAAATGCTTTCATAGTATGGAAAATAAAATTTAGATCAGAAAGTTTAGTGAGTAAATTACAACCAAAAAAAAGAAAAAATACGCAGCTCTGTTGGTGTGAAAAGATTCACAAGAGCATTGTTACACAAAATCTTGAGTGTCTCTGTACATACACAACTTCCTGATGCTCAGAAAATACCTTCTAAACATCTGAGATCATTTAACACCATATATTTGTATAATACTCCAGTATTTATGTAACATTACAATATATTTCAGTTCTTGTCGAACACACTTGTAGACAGCAGTACTGGGAAGGATATAGATCAACTGGAGCAGGGTTTAACATAATGGACAGGACAACTGAAAAGGATTTGAAAACTAATCTCACTCCCAGAGAGCAATGTCAACAGGATGTAGATGCACACACATATTAACAGCTGAGACACGCTTCTCTGCAATAGATGATTAGTAGAACATAATGGATGCAGGCTCAGACGCTTTGTGCCAATTCACTGTCTGTGATGATGAAGTGGAATTAACAGTTCTGAAATTAATTGAGGGATAAAAAGGCTGAAAATAGAGTACAGTAGAGAGAGAATACACAAGAAAAAAACTCCTTATGCTCCAATTCACACAGGATAGGCTGCAGGTCACTGAGCTAAGGTGCTTATGGGTAAAAACAATGATTCTGACCCAGATTATAGAGGCCAGACATTGAAAGATCATGTTGTACATTGATCTAACTCTACAAAGATTCCAGAATTATCCCTCTCTACCTTCTATCCCTTCCACTGACTCATCTATTCATCCAAAATGAGAGCATAAGAGTGGCAGCATCCTCTTCCTGTCCTGACCAAACCTCCGGCCCACTATCAGCACTTCACGGATTGGGACGCAATCCACAATCCAATTAGATTTGACATGAGCATGAAAGACAATGCTTTCTATTCCCCCTTTGAAACACCCTCTAACCCTCATTATTTTCCTTTCTCACCGTCCTCAAACACTGACGTTCACTTTGCACCCAGATTGAAGACCGAAAGTAGGTACTGTGTGGTGGAATTGTTTATATTGCCCAAAACACTACAAATGATTAGTACTATTGCTCAGGTGTTAGAGATTTGAACAAACCCCTGACCTTAAGTAATAAACTTTGGGACGTAATGTGTCCTGCACTGACTGTTCTACGGACTGAGTGAGATGTTGATACTGCAGAAATTGCCCTGTGAAGGGACAATAAAGAGTTATACTGCTACCTTACACAGTTTACCTTTATTACTTTTCCTTAGACTTTCTAAATCCCACAGATTTACACTGAAAGAAAGACTCAATCCATAACTTGGTGGGTGATTTTGACCATCCGCACTGAAAAAAAAAGTGGTTAATCTAAATTAAGTCAAAAATAGTATTTAACATCAATGAACCAACCAGTTTAAAAGCTTGGAGCTGGTATGCTTTTTGTTTTTGGAAGAAGCATTTAATTGATTAAAAATACTGTAAAACAGCACTGTTGTGCAATATTTATCGAATTTATTGTATCTTTTTTATTTATTTAATATATTTAATGTATTTCCAGACTTCCTTCAGAAATTCTAATATGCTGATTTAATACTTTTGAAAACAGTTGTGCTGCTTAGTATTTTTGAGGAAACTGTGATACATTTTTCTTCAGGATTCTTTGATGAATAGAAAGTTAAAAAAACAGCATTTATATTATATAGAAATCTTTAAAAATAACAAGCGTACTTGCTTAATAAAAGTGTCAGCTTTCGAAAAGAAATCGTACTGACATACTGACAAAACCTGGTACTGTACATTACCAACAATATTAAATTTAATATAGAAATGTCAAATAGAAGGGTATCAATTGCAGGTTACACTTTTAAAGTGCAGAAAACCTTTTTATTTTACTGTCTCTCAACGTGTTTGTGGGGTGTCCTAACTAGCATTGATAAAGCAATAAGTTATACTGTATATCATGTTAATCTTACAAAAAAACAGGATTCAGAGATAGAAAAAGGAGAGAAATTCTTAAGTAAACACCCTCTTTAAACAAGCCCTTCATGTTATGAAAGATTCAGGTCACTCTCCAAATCATATTAAGATACTGTGACAGAATAACAGGCTCTCTGGTCTTATTAAGTGTCTGGCGTAGTCTGGCTTCCTTTTTTATTCTTCGTCTTCTTTTTAATCTAGATACTTTTAATCCACTCTTTTGTCTTTGTGGCATCTTGTCCAGATATCTGGATCTTATTTTCCCACCATCAAGTCCTCTGTTGTTCCACAGTTTTAGAACTAGAAAGTGAAGTAAAAACAGAGAAACTTCTTGAGAAAGACTCAAACAGCATCCAGTAAAATCAGAATATATATTCACAGATAATTAAATAAAAATACATTTTCTGTCCAGAAAGTTTTTGCACACACAGAAAACTTTCCCAGTACTTTTCTCTCCTTCTCTCTGTCTCTTATAAACTTACATGTTCATAAAGTCACTGTCAGTGAGCATTACTGTGGAAGAAAACTATAGATTTTCATTTTCATGAAAGCAGTGGCTCCACCTTTCCCCCGCAATATACTGTTTGTTCTTAAATAAACCATCTCTCAGTTTCTTGCTCTCCCTCGGGGTCACACTGTATGTCTTCGCCACCAGCTGGGTTTCAACATAAGTTTGCAGCACATGTTGCAATACAGACGTGAGCAGCAATAAGCTGAGGGAATGGAAACTCTAGCCGTGTTACAAAACCTAGTGAGCTGCCTATCTAGACAGTTGAAGAGATTGTTCACCCAAAAATCATTTAGTTAACTGTCATGTCGTTACAAACATGTATGGCTTGGTATTTATTTTTTGCAGATCTTTTTTCAGTTTTTGTTCATAAAATGAAGTCAATGAAGGCAAACTCACTGAGAAAAAAAAAATCCAAAACAGAGCAT